GGGCAGACATGATTTTGACCACTTCATTAAGTTTGTTTTTGTAGAAAGCCTTTCTTTAAAGTGAATTTCGTTTTTTATTAATTGTATCTTAATTTTAAATGAAGTTCCTAAACGTAAATTAGGGAGGAGCGAGCCCATCCAATCTTTCAATCAACAAACAGAGTATATAAGCAGCCGCTTACCTCTCCCTAGTATCAGCTGTTCCAGTATCCCTCCACCTCCCCAAACTCCACCTTCATCTTAGGTACCTTGCCCTTTAATTAACAGGTCCTACATTTAGCCACTGGGGGGTATATCAGAGCTCGAGTTGAAGCTGCTTCATCGAGCCCCTCTCCAGCGGACAGCAAGCCAAATAAGTTTAACCTAATATCTTAAAGATTTTATGGGCAAACGAACTCGTTAATCAATGTTTCATCAACCAATTGTCTTATTTTAAGCAGTAACTTTAAATAAGCAGTAAATATAGCAGGCAATATAATCAGGACTTCTCAGGAGCTCCGTGCCGGCGCGTGGACTGAGCTCGTCCAACCTGGTCTCACAGGATTCCGTGAAATGTCCACGTGCCCTTAACTCAAAATCCGTCGAAACAACACGGAATCGCCGCGAATTCCGTGATGCGACCACGGATAACTCCAACGCAAGTCAATGACACTCATCTTCCGTGGTCCACACACGGATACCCGTTTGAATGACGGAGTACCGATCTCACCCAACGGACGTGCTTTCTCATTTGGAAACGCAACATTTGAAGTGTTAGTTTATTTTCCAACATCAAAAACCATAATGAAATATTGTTGCACTGTCCTGCCATCATACAAATTCCGTTTGTTTCAGTTAGCCTAACCGAAGTCCCGTGATGGTACCACGGACCTCAACGACCTCATGGACGTTGTAATGTGGCTGGCTTGTTTAGAAACTCAAGCTTTATGTCGACTCTATTGCAATGGCATGTAATTAACTTGACGTTTTGTCTCGTCCTCATAAAATCCAGGTTGATGGCGTTTTACACCTATTGCTCGCTTGGCTACGGTCAGAACTGAAATCTGTGATAGGGGCACGGAGTGAGTCTGTGCTGAGACCACGGATAACTCCAGCGCAAGTCAATGACTCTCATCGTCCGTGGTCCACTCACGGATACCCGTTTGAGTGACGGAGTACAGATCTCACCAAACGAACGTGCTTTCTCATTTGGAAACGCAACATTTGAAGTGTTAGTTTATTTTACAACAATAAAATCCATAAGTACGTTAACCTCTCTGTTATTGTGGCTATTGCACTGTCCTGCCATCATACAAATTCAGTTTGTTTCAGTTAGCCTAACCGATGTCCCGTGATGGCACCACGGACCAACAACCTGACCTCATGGACGTTGTAATGTGGCTGGCTTGTTTAGAAACTTAAGCTTTATGTCGACTCTCTTGCAATGGCATGTAATTGACTTGACGTTTTGTCTCGTCCTCATAAAATCCAGGTTGATGGCGTTTTACACCTATTGCTCGCTTGGCTACGGTCAGAACTAAAATCTGTGATAGGGGCACGGAGTGAGTCTGTGCTGAGACTACGGATAACTCCAACGCAAGTCAATGACACTCATCTTCCGTGGTCCACACACGGATACCCGTTTGAGTGACGGAGTACAGATCTCACCAAACGGACGTGCTTTCTCATTTGGAAACGCAACATTTGAAGTGTTAGTTTATTTTCCAACATCAAAAACCATAATGAAATATTGTTGCACTGTCCTGCCATCATACACATTCCGTTTGTTTCAGTTAGCCTAACCGAAGTCCCGTGATGGTACCACGGACCTCAACGACCTCATGGACGTTGTAATGTGGCTGGCTTGTTTAGAAACTCAAGCTTTATGTCGACTCTATTGCAATGGCATGTAATTAACTTGACGTTTTGTCTCGTCCTCATAAAATCCAGGTTGATGGCGTTTTACACCTATTGCTCGCTTGGCTACGGTCAGAACTGAAATCTGTGATAGGGGCACGGAGTGAGTCTGTGCTGAGACTACGGATAACTCCAACGCAAGTCAATGACACTCATCGTCCGTGGTCCACACACGGATACCCGTTTGAGTGACGGAGTACAGATCTCACCAAACGGACGTGCTTTCTCATTTGGAAACGCAACATTTGATGTGTTAGTTTATTTTACAACAATAAAATCCATAAGTACGTTAACCTCTCTGTTATTGTGGCTATTGCACTGTCCTGCCATCATACAAATTCAGTTTGTTTCAGTTAGCCTAACCGATGTCCCGTGATGGCACCACGGACCAACAACCTGACCTCATGGACGTTGTAATGTGGCTGGCTTGTTTAGAAACTTAAGCTTTATGTCGACTCTCTTGCAATGGCATGTAATTGACTTGACGTTTTGTCTCGTCCTCATAAAATCCAGGTTGATGGCGTTTTACACCTATTGCTCGCTTGGCTACGGTCAGAACTAAAATCTGTGATAGGGGCACGGAGTGAGTCTGTGCTGAGACCACGGATAACTCCAGCGCAAGTCAATGACTCTCATCGTCCGTGGTCCACTCACGGATACCCGTTTGAGTGACGGAGTACAGATCTCACCAAACGGACGTGCTTTCTCATTTGGAAACGCAACATTTGAAGTGTTAGTTTCTTTTACAACAATAAAAGGCATAATAACGTTAACCTCTCTGTTATTGTGGCTATTGCACTGTCCTGCCATCATACAAATTCAGTTTGATTCTGTTAGCCTAACCGAAGTTCTGTTACTCACTGGAATCTGGATGTTTTAATGCGTTTGCTCATTTAATCATTAAATAATTAAGTCTTCAGGTCGACTGTTTTACAATGGCAATGCAGCCTACAACATTTACATTTGCTCCGTCATTGTAAAATCCAATTTGATCACGTTTTCCATTTAGCATATCTTTACATTTCAGAGAAATGTTGTGCCTCTTGTGACATTACCACGGATCTGGAATGGATCTGTGGTGGACCCACGGTCAACATGGTCTTGTTCTATGAGTTGCTTTTGATGTTTACTCATTAAACTTGAATACTTCAGGTCAACTGTGTTACAATGGCGCTATTGCACTGTGCTATTATTTATTCTGTTTGATCCAGTTAACCTTCCATGGTCGACACACAGATTCCCTCAATAGCCTGATCTGGATGTTGGTTTATGCTGTCTGCTCATTGGCTTCAGGTCGACTTTACAATAAAAATGGGAAATGTAAGTGAACTGACATTTTGCCTGTCAAAATAAAATCCATTTTGATCATGTTTTGCAGCCATTTCTTTGAATAGATTAAAAGAGAATTTGTAATGCAACCACAGATTCATCCGTGGGGAAAACAAGGACTACAAACTCAGGTTTCACTCAATTAAAATTTATTTTGTTTGTTAATTTCAAAATAATTAATTTTCATGGCGTTATTTTTTTTTTTTTTTTTTTTTACTGAAATCGTGTGATGGACCCATTAATCATCCTTGTCAAATTGAGTTAAATAAGACTATATGGTCACTGTCTAAAAAAAGGACATTGTTATTGTTTGGGCTTCTCATGGATTACCAATGCATGAACATTCAGTCGGCGGAAAAGTGACCCTAAGCCTATGCACAATCCACATTAACAGAAAACAGGCAATCCATCCATAGTCATTACCTGATCTGGTTAAATTAGGCAACATTAAAAGCATGGAATGCTTGTACAAGGGATTATTATTTGAGCAGTAGTGGTAGTGTGCTCATCCCCACATGTGTGGTGCAGGGCAAAAGGGGGCTGGATACAACTTAAAATAATGAGATGCCCGCACTCTGCTATTTTTCCCATAAATATTGTGCTGCAACGTTTTGACCCCGCATTTTTGCACAATAAAAGTATGAGAGAAATAGCAAAGTGCGGGCATCTAATTTTTAAAATGTATTACTCATGGACAGAGTTGTCAAAAATACACACTTCCCATACTCAAGTAGGAAGACTTTTACATTTCTTCTGAGATAACAGGAAATCATATTCAAGGTGAATTTTCTATTTATTTCCTTAAGACCATAACAATTTATCCTCTATAATATTTCCACAAAACATGTGAACTAGTCAAGAAGGAATGAACTTACAGAGAAACAAGCATTGTGATATACAAAGTAGACAGGCCAATAATGCAGTGTAGACAGAAGTATACAGTTGGTTTACCGAACATGGCTGAGTAATGAAAATGAACTATAAATATGTGCAGTGAATTAGCAGTTACCATATAAGAGCAGAATATGGATATGTAATATGAACAATGCATGAACAACATGATATGTGAAAAGTAGTATCTGTAACATTATAATAGTAGTAAGAATAATGTGTAAGAAAAACAAAATAAATATGGATATTCAGTATAAACCATATAGACATATGTACAGCTATGTGCAGTGTGGTAACAGTACCACTGTAGTGCAGAAACATTATGAGTAGTAAGAATAAGTGTATGTTTCAGGATGAATAGTATGGAGAGCAGTAGAATACGGCTAGATATGTATAAGTGTAATTACAGTGTAAATGTACATAAACAGAACACAATGGGTCTCATTCATGAGACACGAGGAGGAGAAAAAAAAAATTGTGTAAATCGTGTGTAAAGTGGTTCTTGCGTAAATTTTCGGATTAATTAAAATGTCCGTATTTTCCAAATGTTAGTTCGTACGAAAGAAATCTACACCTGCTGCCACGCGTAAATAGTGCGTTTAACATCAGAACGTTTAGCTCATAAGGCAGCATTTTAAATTCACCTTAATCGGGTACATGTTTACACATCATTAAATAAATAAAATAAATAAATATATATATATATATATATATGTGTGTGTGTGTGTGTAGTAATTGCGTACGGTTTTTCTTTTTACTTTTATGACGAGAGCCAGTAATAGCATCTGCAAATGGAACACAAGTCCGTAAGTCTTTTTTTATTATATTTTTTAAAACATTTTTTATATTCAAGCTGTTTATTCAATTTTATTTATTTTTTTAAAACTAGTCTGCAAGTCACAAGTGTTGCAGCCAAGCTTCATGTAGAACCATTTTCTTTTAACTTCTGGGACTGTTCGATTAACAGATGAAACTACATTAACTACATCTGTAATGTGCTGCCAAGCATTTTTACCTAAAGCACTTAAGTAAAAGTATTATTACCTCAAAAAATCCTTTTTTTTAGGACCCGATACACCACTATGTACGCTTGAAAATAAAATGTGGCGTTTTGAATAAACTTCTGATAATAAAACGCTTTTGAGATGACATTGAAATCCTTCCTTTGGTGTCATAATATGATGCCCATATATAGTTGTCAGTCGGTTTTAATCGGCAGGATTTATGGTAATTGAGAGAATGAGCGTGCACGCACGTCCAATTTACAACATATTGGAATTCATTAACACACACACACTTCTGTGTAATCTGACGTTTTCAAAGTAGTTGTGAATCAGGAGAAGAATTTTCTGCAATGTCTCTTTATGCACAAATCACTCACATATTTACTTGTATATTTACGAACGTTTCATGAATGAGACCCTATGAGTGGGATTGGGCTAAAAAAAAAAAAAAAAAAAAGGAAAATGGAAAATGAAACACAAAGTTGACAGATTTTAAAAACAAAACATAGAGTGGTCTCTTTCCTAATCTTCTGACTCTGGACTACTAAGGTCATACTCGTCATCAGTGTCCGTACTGCATTCTGTGTCCTGTATCTGGAGGTCGTCAACTATAGCACTGTACGTGCTCACAGCATTTTGGAATAAACTCCCCAGTATGGAGGACCTCCGCATGAGGACACTTTTCCAACCAGATGCAGCATCCTCTGACATGTCACCAAAATCTGTAACATACATAAACATAAGAATTACAAGTATTGTTCCAAAATCATAGCATGTAGAGCCACATAGACAGAAACATTTGGTTGTTTGTTGCATGAAATCTTTAACAAGTGAAACAAGGACATTTAATTGTCATATACTGTGGTTACTGTGGGGGTTGAGGTGAGGATAGACCAAACAAAGTGTGAGGGTGGAGTATGGCTAATATGGGTGTGATGGCAGTAGGACAAAACTAAACAAATAGACTGTTACCAGCTCAACATGACTTTTTAGCACTCTGTACCTACCACTTTTGGTTACACCTCTGTTGAGGTTCCAACGATGATATGTAAATATTGGATATTGCTAAGTTGTCATTGTTATCTTCAGCATCGTAATGTCTGAGCATGCCCTCAGCAGCTATCTGTCAGTGTTAGCACGGACAGGACGGCTGATAAGAGTAAATATTGCCATCTCCCCAAAAATGTGTCTGTATTGTGATGAATACAGAATGCTGTTGATTTTATCTGCTATAGTCATTGCTGTTAACATCTTTTCCACGTTGGTGATGTTTACTTTAGTGGCGCTATAGCCACCAGTTACATTAAATGGTACTTTTATGCAGTGGTAAACAAAACGTCTGTAACCAGAGTACCGTAATTTCCCAACTATTAGCTGCAGTTTATATTGATTTTGCAAAATTTCTTCAGCTATGAGGTTAATACACAGGTTAATATGGAAGTAATATGGTTTTGTTTCTTTTAACTTGCATAAAACACTGTCCTGCGGCTTATACACAATGTGGCTAATACACAGGAAATTACTGTAGTCAAGTTGAGGCGAGTTGAGCAGTAGGAAAGGGACTAATATAGTGAGGGAAAAAAAGTAAAAAAATTCAGAATTTCACTTACAGCCCATTCTGATGTTCTCTTGAAGCTTATCCACTGCCTTTAACTCCTTTCGTAGAGACGTGATGTGCTGAGACATCTCCTTCACAAGGATGCTCTGCTCCTCCTCAAGCCGTCTAATTAGCATTGTTTGGTCAAAAACAGACCGTTTTAATCTGAAGGAGTGGCCTATGGGTAGAGGGAATTGATGGAAATATGAAAAAGTGATTTAGTATTCACAATTAAGTTACAAAACCAAACATACACATATAGATAGACAGATTGAGAGATAGAGAGAGTTTTTCATTGCTATACCATAGGCATGTTGGCATACATTTTAGAGAACATGTCAAGATAGGCTACCATACCATCCTCACTTCTCTCCCAAGGCAGGATGTAGTCCTCTGTCAAATTGGAAGCCAATTCCCCATCAATCGTATCCTCTGCAATAGTATTGTAGAGTCCAATCTTTTGTCTTAGTTTGTTTTTTAATTCTCTTATTTTTCTTCTCTTTCTTTGTCTGGTCTGGTTGCTATCTGCAAAGTGAAACAATAAAACTCTAAGGAAAACAGAGTTTTTGTTTGCATTTGCAATGTGCCATTTCAATATTTGTCAACCAACCATGCTGACGATAGAGGTCCTGCTTCTTGCGTAGCAGGGCCACTATGATACTTTCTATCTCAGCCCTGAGATCCTCTGTTGCTCCCTGTTGTGTTGTGCTACCTGGCTCTGAATAGGCAACACAGTCAAGCGATAGTTTCATTTGAAAGATTCTGATCACCTTATGTAGTTCATATTTGAACAAAGTAATTAACAGTTGTATTTCTGAAGAGTCCGAGCACTGTGCATGATTTACCTGTGATTGCCCACTCCTGAACATCACACACCCACTGCTGTGCTGTTTGTTCAGTGATGCCATTCCTCTGGCGGAAATCACTGAAGCTGGCAGCTTCCAGCTTTGCCCTCTCTGAGATCTTTAAATCACACACACACAAATTCAGGATCAAGAAATTCCTTAATCTACAGTTTAGAAATCAGTGTATGAATGAGCTTATTACAGATGGCCAGACTCCAGCTACACTGTTTGTTATCAAAATTTATGTTGTGTCAGGCTAGAGGAACATAGCAAAATGTCCTTACCTTGATGTATCTGTTGGCCAAGACCTTGTGAAGGTTTGCTGTCTTTTTTTTGTTCCACCCCATGGCCTGTTGAGTGAGCATATTTTCTCTCCCTGATTGAAAAAATAAATCTGTATGAGTGATTGGATCAGTTTAAATGGGAAATACCATTGCAGTTAGACATGACTTAATACAACAATTACTTTAGTGAGAGGAGAACAGGAAAATGACATTTTAGAAGTCAGAAATACCTCATCACAGTGTATGGTTTGTAATATGTCATACCAACCTGCCTTTGTCATGTATTTAGTGACAAGAGCTGCCCTGGAGAGGAAGCTGTTTACCTAGATGTAAAAACAATACAGAAATTAATGTATTCCCATTACTTAACAAAAAAAAAAAAAAAAAAAAAAAAAAAAAACACGTAGCCATATTATTAGTATTTTTTTTATAATATCTGATTGTCAATTAGCTCTCCCCCTTGTAATGCCATGGAAACTAAAACGAACACACCCTTTCAGTGGTCTCCATACACAACCAAATTGGCAAGATCGAGCCGGATTGGGAATTGGGAACAACCTTGGATATTATAGTGACATGCATAGCCAACTGGGTCTACATTGGGGGCTGGGGTGTTAACAGTGGCCCAGTGGTTAGGGCCTTTGGCAGATGACTGGTTTGAATGCCGACCAGGATGAAAGTGGTTGTGCGGAAAGTGAAATTTGTCGTGGAAATCGGTTAAACATCGCTGGCCTGTACACATCCACGGTTAAGGTGCCCTTGAGCAAAGCACCAAAACCTTTACTGCTTTCCGGACACCTTAACAGATGACTGCCCACTGCTTTGAGTTAGTGTGTCACCTCACTGTGTGCTGTGTCACGCTCCACGGATGGGTTTAAAGCAGACACTGAATTTCCCGAACAGGATCAAATGTGTGCAGTCTATATACTTAAAGCAGGGATGGGCAACTTCAGTCCTGGAGGGCCACAAACCTACAGAGTTTAGCTCCAACCCTGAAAAAAAAAATCACCTGCCTGTAACTTTCTAGTAATCCTGAAGACCTTGATTAGCTTGTTCAGGTGTGTTTGATTAGGGTTGAAGCTAAACTCTGTAGGACAGTGGCCCTCCAGGACCGAAGTTGCCCATCCCTGACTTAAAGGGATAGTTCACCCAAAAATGAAAATTCTGTCAGTATTTACTCACCCTCAAGTTGTTCCAAACCTCTATGTGTTTATTTGTTTTGCTGAACACAAAGGAAGATATTTGGAAGAATGTTTTAATCAAACAGATCTCAATCCCCATTGACTTCCATATAGTAGGAAAAAATACATACTATGGTAGTCAATGGGGATTGAGATCTGTTTGATTAAAACATTCTTCCAAATATCTTCCTTTGTGTTCAGCAGAACAAATAAACACATAGAGGTTTGGAACAACTTGAGGGTGAGTAAACGATGACAGAATTTTCATTTTTGGGTGAACTATCCCTTTAAATGGTGCAGCTCAGAAGGAACATAGCTTGAAATAGTGATACAACATTTATACAGCTACACTGCTGACTTCACTTTTTACTCAGACATAATGGGTGTTGCAACTGCAGTTCAGAAGATGCCCTGATGGTCACTCTAACAAGCATAGATCTTTGTTTGATATCCTGATGTACTTTATCCTTCACACTCTGCTTATCTCACATGTATCAGTGAAGTCTCCTATGTCCACATAGTTACTAAGTCAGTAATAACATACCTGCTCAACTTCCTCTCCGACAGTGTTCCCTGCTCCATCCTGATTCCTGCCACCCCATCTCACCTGTAACAGTGATTTATCATTACCTTCTAATGGTAAAAGTGTAATGTAATGTATTGTATTAAACTTACTCCATTTACAGTCATTTCAGGTACCTCGCATTTTGCTGTGTGCGCTTTGGCATGCATGACACTCAGAAATGGCTTCATTTCCATCAACGGCTGCATATCAGTGAAATTATCAGCCACCTTGCTTAGGTAGGGCCAGTACCTAGAAAACAAGAGCATCATTATTGGTATTATCAACACAATTTGCTTGGAAATCAATCTAAAACTACGACTGAGACTAAAACATTCAGGTATGTGTCATTTGATATACAGTAGGTTTACCAAATCTGACCAAGAGAAGTTACCTGCAGATAACATCCATTGCAAAGAAGGTAACATTTGCCCTCTCTGCCATGTCCTTTTGAATAAACATTGGATATGCGAAGATTTCTCCACGGTAGTGGTTCAGGGCACGCAATAATATCCCGTGTCTGATTGATAAGAGACAATGAGGTTAGTAATGATCAACATACACAAAGAGTTGCTCAAAATCCTCACGCACACACTAACACACACTTTCTTCTTCTCTCATACACAGTCACATTTCTTGTTTTTACTTTACATCAAAAAATTACATTCAGATGAATAAATAGATTAGTGTCCACAACATGAATGACAATGTACAAGAACACTCTCCTGAAATACGAACACACCTGCAAACTGCCACCTGAATACCCTCTTCATCAATTTTTGAGGAGGATTTGTTGGATGTCTCCTTACTCGCCTTGAACCTCGACACCCCACACGTCCCACTGTCATTTGCCTGTGAAGTCAGCAGTTACTCATTTCAACAAATATACACACACATCTTACACACATAAATAAACAGATTATGGTATGCAGAATCAAACTTACTCTTGCCCCGCTGCTTCCTCTGATTTTCTCCAGAAAGGTCAGAACTTCATCATCTTTGGCTATAAACAAGCCCTCATATAAAGACGGTTCCTCGGTTCTGTACAAATGATCACAAAATACCTAATTTAACTAACGCAGTAAACGCACATTACTCTACATGCAACTATTTCAATGACAATGTTCTTGTTAAATATAATTATAAATCGACTGTGTAGTCTTTACATACCCTCTTGATTTTCGGAAGCGGTAATGTTTTCGGTTGCCATCACAACACACTGCCAACATGTCAGGTTGACAGGCTGGACAGCAAAAAGAGTCAACTTCTGACATCATGTCCTCTGAATGTTTGCATAGGCAATATTCAAAATAGCTCTTTTGAAACATATCCGCACAGATTTTCCCCATCTATGCAATGAAAAAGAACAATGGATTTAGAAAAAAAAAAAAAACATACCCACAAAATTACAAATACAGTCATAATTGTGTGTTACAATGTGATTCAGGCAGACTAACCCTTCCTCCTTGAACAGACTGGTGCTCCAACAGCTTTAAAAAAGCATGTCTTGAAAGCGAGGGAGCTGACAGCTTCATGTTAGAAATATTACTATAACCACGAGAACCAACCTGGGAGGCTGCTTGACACGCATAAATACACACACACACACACACACACACACACACACACACACACACACACACACACACCTACACACACTCCCACTCAGTTCACTCTAAATGATCAACTCCAGGACTCAGTCTATTTGTGTCTTTTTGTGTCAGACTTGTGTTTTTTGTGCTACCTCAGGAGGAGGTGTAGATTGGGAGTGAGGAGGGCAATTATTTTTTGAGCACACTTTTATTAGCCTGATGTTGTCATACTCAAAATTGCACAGTTGCATTTTTAGCTCTGAAACAAACCATTTAGTATTTTTTCTGTTCTGAACCGCCCTGGTTCACGCATAGTTGCTCCTCAACGAAGCAATGCAGACAAAAACTTCCCGACCTCAAATGTTGTGGGTGAGCCTATAAGTTTGGCTGGCTCCCAGGCTACTCTTTTATTGGATTTGATTGAAATTCTTGCATCTTTTTAAATTCATTGCAGTCATCTGATCTTCTTTGGGAGGCCAGTGAGCACAGTATCCTAGGCCTAGTCAAGCTTGGAGAAGAACATCTTATTATAAGCCTATAACTCATCTTATGTGTCTCGATCAGATATCACCTTTACACAATGGCTGAGACAGCCTAATTTGTGATGCAATAGTGTCATAAAAGAGGGGTAAACATGAACTCTTTTGTCAGCAGTGGAGATTTCTTTAAGATTGCAAGGAAAACTCGGCGTCCCCTTTAATGTAAAAAATAAATAAATGGTCAAATATGTAGCCGTCTATTGTGTTAACATTGTATTGACTAAAAATGCGTTAGAAAACGTTATTCTCAAAGACAAGTTAATTCAGAATCAGCAAAATTCAGCAGGTCGCGACGCGATTTCCTTCTCATACATTTCCCGCAGCTACAGTGTGCATCCCTGTTGAAGCCCAGCTTCCATTGACTTCAATGGGGCTGCTTTGTACAGTTTTTTTTTTCCAGCGCTTCGAAACTAGACGGTCATCATTAGAAAAACGCTGTGATTACCGTATGTTCCTCCCACGCCACGGACATGTACCGTTGGGGGTGAATGAGGAGTGGGCTGGTTGGAGGGTCTATGCTGCATCTCCTTTTGATTGACAGCGATTTCATTCCATAAAAAGTCGCTGATGCTGAAGCTCTGTCCCATCGCGGATTTTTCAAGATATAGTCGAAAAACAAACTGCTACCTATTTCTTGGTATTTGCTTGTCGAAATTGTTACTTATACTTAATTAAAACAATACTTGTTACTTATACTTAATTAAAACAATAATTATTAAACTAATCAATTATTATTAGTAGTAGTAGTAATATACTTTATTATATAATTATTTATACCTTTATTATTATTACATTTATACAATTTAACTCTGCTGGTCATTGAGAGGACACTGGTCAAGTCACTGGAAAAGACGCCTAGTTGGTAAGACAGGGTCACAGACCATTTTCATGGAAAGGAATGTTGAGCAGAATTTACATATAAATGGACAATTTTTATGATGTAGGCCGAAAATGAGCTTCCACTCTTTGAAAGACCAGCAACCGCCACTGGTGTGCCACCACCTCTCCCCAGCACACAAATCAGCTTAAACAGCATCATGCTAGGATAGGTGCAAGGTTCAAAATTGTGATGTCATTTCAGTATTAGCATGTTTTTTACTTAGAAATTAAGATTGCAAAAGAAAAATACTCAGCATAACATTTTGTTGATTTTATTTTATTAGAGAGAAATAGAAATAGAAAGAGAAAGAATGAGTGAGTGAGTGTGTCAGGCAGCTTCCCAGGTTGGAGGCCAGGATTTCCCGCTAGGAAAAAAAGGGTAAGGGATGATTAGTAAAAAAGTCAATAATGAATAATCACTTGATAATCAAAGCTGTAATGTTTACATTGTAACCTTTTTTCCAGTTTGATTTGTAATTGTAGTGGAGGGACATTTAGATTAACCAATGTCATAATAATACCAATTAAAAACACTATGATGAATTTGTATATGAAATGGCACCAATGATGACAAAATTTGGTGTATTTTGAAAAAAAGAAAATGGTGTTTAGTTAGCAAGGTGACAGCTGGTCAAGCATAATTCGAAAAAAAGTATGCACAATGTAACAACTAATCAAAGATCTGAATAATCCACAGTATGGAAATATAAAAACTAGCACCTGACACTCTGAATTTACAAAATGTTACAGCATCAACATTTCAAATAACCATATTTACTACTTCAGAATACATTTCTGCATCAACAATAGTTAATAACTTACAATCACTCCAGACAACACTCTTCACCAATTTCCAAACGCATACTGTGCACATCCAATAAGGAAGCACGTATAAAGTTGTGTTACAATATATAGACTGAGTTGTGCTCTACAGTATCTCACAGAAGTGAGTACACCCCGCACAGTTTAGTAAATATTTTAATTTCTCTTGTCATGGGACAACCCTGAATAAATGACACTTTGCTACAATGTAAAGTAGTCAGTGTACAACTTGTATAACAGTGTAAATTTACTGTCCCCTCAAAATAACAACACAAAGCCATTAAAGTCTGAACGGCTGGCAACAAAAGTGAGTATACCCCGAAGTGTCCAAAGAAAAGCTAAATAAAAAAATGTAAAAAAAATGTGAGGGGTGCACTCACTTCTGTGCGATACTTTATGTGTGTACATGTAGCCTATAGTATGTAATTGTTGTAAGTTATGTTTATGTCTGCTGAAAAAACGTAATTTTGTGGATAATTGTATCTGGTGTGGAAGACAACCAACACACCACAGTTTGCAGGGGAGCCAATCAATCAGCTTCTCCATCTTCCCCTGGGAAGGCAAACAAAGACATATAAAATCGGTGCCTTGCTTAAGATAAACATTGCTCTCAACTTTACATTTCATTTAGTTACACTTAAAGGTAGTATTAGCCATTCAGAGCGTTTTGTAAACATATAACACTTTTTGTAATGTTCAGCTAATCTCCTCATTTTCCACTCACTTCCCATTCCCATTATGAGCTGTAAAACATTACAGTCATTTTACGCAGCTCAGTCACCATAAATTAGAGCATAACAGGGGTGGTGATGATGGCCCAGTGGATAAGACACATGCCTTTGGTGTGAGAGACCGGGGTTCAAATCCACTGTGAGACACCAATGTGTCCCTGAGCAAGACACTTAACCCCTAGTTGCTCCAGAGGCGTGCGACCTCTGACATATATAGCAATTGTAAGTCTCTTACATAAAGCGTCAGCTAAATGAATAAATGTAAAATGTAAATAACTGCAGGAAAACATTCTGGGGTTGGTAGAATCTCTAACAATAACAAAACATGGCTTGATTTTGTTCACCCTGAGAGTACTGAATGTGGGGGTGAGTTATCTCTGGTGTCTTATCGAGTGTGACAAGAGAAATTTTTAACATAAACACCAACATAAACAAATACAATATCTGGTAGGATCACTGGTACAAATTTTAAATTACTGCCATTAGCCGATTAGTGACAATATCAATTAAAACAAGTGATCAATCAGTATTGGTAAATCACCCATTGTTTTCTTTGCAATTGTATTATGTATGGGAATACCTTTCTCTTTCTTGTTTTTAACACGCATCTATATGCGTGCACCTCTTGGCTGTTGTGGGGACAATCCATTTCTTTTTTAGAAACTGTTTAGAAACATAAGCAAATAGTGAAATGTTAATCCAAATGTTAACATACAAAAAAGAAAACAAAAGTACATCATATAACTTATTGTAAAACAGTCCACAGATTAGAAGTATTTGCTGTGACCTGTAACTCAGTAAAGAGGGAGGGGTATATTTGACATCACACATATTGATATTATGCGTACAATTCACATGTAAATTAAGTACATCAATAATGTTAATGTCATAACGGAGACCTGCATAGCAAATTAAATAGCAAACGTAATGGGAATAAAGTTAAATATGGCAGAATATCAGCTTTGAGTTTATTAGGTACACCTTTTGTCCTTTGACGTCTTTTGTAATTTTTCCCCCCCTCGTTGGTGTCGGTGGCAGGGCTGGTTGGCAGAAGAGCTTCCACTAAAGTTTAGACACAGAATATACAATATGCAAGAAGGTCAGATATAGACGTGTGGCTGCTCAAGCTCATTCTACAAAAAATTAAAAGAAGGCACGAAAAGTTGAAGAGCAAATTACTAGGCTAAGCACACAAAATTTTGGTGCGATCATTGCCACTTGGTGGGACTTTGGGTTACCTTGCCGGTGCCGAGCAGTCTGTTGTCAGATGTAGCATTGGCCTATGCCTTATCAATGGGGACCCTTTCCTAGATCTTTCTGTTCCGGCACCTGTTGTTCTAGTTATTTATGACTATCTTTCTGTATAACACTGGTCGGACCTTTTGGTTCGTTGAGAAGATGATTCGGCGTACGAGGTAGGACGTAGCGTAGGAAACGTCACGACGGTTCCTACGCTACGTTCGCCGACTTCAATCACCCGTGAACGTACGTAGCGTAAGAACCGCCGCGACGATCGTTGCCGGAAGTCAGATATTTTCATTTATAAAGTTTTAAATATGTATATTTTTACGACAAAACCGCACGGATTACCCTCAGAAGGCCTTCGTTTATCACCCTGGAGCCGGATGGATTACTTTTGTGAAGGATTTATGCACATTTTTGGGACTTGAAGGAGCTGGACCCCATGTCTTCACATTATATCCACTGAAGGGTCTAAGACTTTTTCTAAAATTACTGAAAATGTGTTCGTCTGAAACAAGATTGACATATGCATCTCGAACGGCTTGAGGGTGAGTAATGCATGGTTTAAATATCATTTTTGGCCGAACTATCCCTTTAAGGCGGAAGAGAAGGTTATGTGCGGTCCACTCTGCTGCTTCTCTTGAGCTGCGCCAGAGCGATCTCACGCCACAGCGGCAAAACGGTAATTGTGTTTTTGAATTTCGTAAGAAAATGAACCTAATTTAAAATCAGAGACTTTGTTTCATATCAATAATAACAAAGCACAAAGATTATTGCAATTTATTGTATGGGATGCGCAAAACAATGCCTTGTCACCATGCCCTGAAGAAGGCTCCATGCCGCTATGCGTGGGCTTTTTAAATTTGTCCGTTTAGGACATGTCATTTTTTCAATAAAGAAATTTTAATTAAGGAGTGCCTCGGGGTCATCAGAGATTTCTTTCTCTACTGTCTCCTAGATGCGCAAAACAATGTTCCATTCATTCATCAACTGAAAACAGGATGACAAATCGATTCTTGGGATTTTAGAAACAATATTTTTCTTAAAAATGAGAATCGATTAAAATTGATAAATCAATCATTTTTACCCAGGCGTAAATAACATACTACAATAATGATGATAATAATATGCTGGTAAAGAACACTGTCATAAAAATATGAAAGATAACGATAAAGCTATACTAAGCACACCTTGTTGAGGTGGTGGGTCTTGAATGGTCTCCAAATTTAAAACGACAATGGTCTCCTCTTCTGGATCACGTTGCAGATTTCCGGTTGCTGAAGGGTCCGTCGGCACTGTCTTTCCTGAAAGAATACAAGGAACACAAAGAATATACTTAGTTTTTAAAAAATTTCTGAATTTGGATTGTTTAAAGATGTTATAATGTATAGAAAATGTGGAATCACCTTGAACTATCATGCTGTAGATAGTGTTCATGTTGTTTAGGCATATCTTTTCCCCTGAACTTAATTTGAGCCCCTCCGGCAGCAGCGTCTTGACTTTTTTGTTTGGGTACTCAAGAAAAAGCATGGGCCTCCAGCCCACTGCATTCAGCTTCTCAATCTGAAAGAAAAAACATACTCTAAAAACAATAATAAGGGCTTTATGTCTACGATAAAACTGTGCTAGTGTTATGTGTAACAGACACCAGCTCCACAACAGTATGTTTCAGATGCAACTCAGATACACACTTTTTAACTTATGGAAGAGCTGATGTATACATACAGTAAGCTGATATACATATATAACAGATGATACATTGGGGATGTGGGGAAGGTGTGAGTATATGTGGGTGGGTTTGGTGTGCCTGTCTACATCATGTGCATGATGCATGCATGAACATCTAAGTACAGTAGCATAGTAGGGGTATTACTCTTATCTGGCTTAGACTGTTCTACAGATGATTGCATGATTGAATTGAAACTATAAGCCTCCAAGAGCATCTTCATGTAAAGATCCCTACTAAGAGATTGGTTAAAAGTTTTTGGTCTACCACACATCGCATTAACTTACACACAACTCACATCATATTCTGTGCAATGAGAGAATCTCACTCAGTAATGTGGTCGGATGGTAGCAGCATGTCTTGGTTGAGGGCCCAGTCAGTGCTTCCCTACAGCTGAATACACGTGGTCAAACTGGAGCCGCTCCCACCACACCAAACTGATTGACACAGCCCTCAACAATAGAGGGAATGCGCGTGACGTCACCGTCGGCCGGAGTGCCTGCAGTTACTATGGTTACTAAACAGTGAGTGGCAAAAAGACTGAGCGGCTGTACATGTTTTCAGCACGAATGCCGCGAAAAACAAACACAACACATATAAAGTGGGAAAGAGCTTTGCGATTGACTGTAGGCCTACAATAGATTTGACAAAACATCGGAGGTATATTTTTACAGACTGCTATAGAAAGAGGAGCAAATGGATCGCTGCAATTCACAGAAACAACTGGACTCCAGTCAGCGAAAGGTGGATTTGCTGTTTTCATTTTGTGTCAATATGCTGAATTTAGGAGTAAAACCATACCCATATATTTTGTACGGTTATATACATTAACAACTCATCAATTAAATATTTATCATTGCATATTCTGCATTATTGGATGTTTTTTTTTTAATAAACACTGACCAAAAAAACGTATATAGTTTAGGGCTGGACGATATGATATATATATAGGCTATATATAACACTGATATAAGTGATCACCCGGATACCTACCTATATTATATTTATATAAAGCGTTCACAGGCTTGCTTTGTGTTTAGGTCTATATTGCTTTTATTTCCCCGCGGTGAAATCAGGCAAAAATAAATGTCAGGCAACACGATTCCTGGCTGCATGTCAATATCCATGGATCACTCAATCTTTAGTGAGGAACACTTGAGTCCAACATTTAGTTTAAATTGATAAAATTGTTAGATTTAGTCGCATTTCCGCAGTTTCCCCTATTAAATCCAGTCACGCAGCAGATCTTTTGCCACTCGGTCAGGCTGAGGGGGTTGTTCCGGCGGGAAAGTGACGTCAATGCATTCCCTCTATACCTGCCGCATTATCACGGTATGCATAAAGACAACGCCAGGCCCGTGCCTCTACAACTAGCTGGCATTGCTCCCTCCCATCCCCGCTCCCCACATGCCACATAAGATGCAGCCCAAGACAGCACAGGAGAGCACACGAGATTGACACCTGGCATCCCCTTCATGGACAGACAGCACCTCCACCACGATTGAAATCCAGATCCAGTTTCCTGCAGACAGTCCCACCTCCAGACAACCAAGAAACAGCATGGACAACATCTGGAAAGATAATGGAACCAGCTACATACACAAGCCCAGGACTGGATGGAGAGAGGAATCACCCCTACTGAATGTCCCACCAGGGTGGCTAACCTGGAAGACCCTCAACAGACTACGAGTGGAACAGGAGAGGTGCAAAACACTTATGAAAGCACGGGACCACCAGACAGAAGACACATGCAGCTGTGAAGCTGTACAGACAATGACCCACCCCCAGCACCAAGCTGAAATGACCCCATCAGCTGTGACCAGATAGTGACAGAATGACATCTAAGGTTGCAACAGACTCGAAGAAGAAGAAGAACACGCAAGTGAACGCTATGTACTTACATAATTGGGCATGAACCACTCAGTAGGGAAGAGTAAACTGTGGATGATATGGAGAGCTCTGACGTGTGTTACAGAACTGCGGGCTATCACCTACTGTAGGTGAACCTGGCGGTTTCTTGCCTGTTTCCTTACACTTTTCCAATTATAATAGTTTAAAGTTAAGATGCTGAAACTGATCAATCAATCGCCTTTATTAAAAGTTTCATACAATGTGCAACTGAAAATATGTGCTAACCTGACGTGCTAATCAACTCATGGTCTATGTGAGTACATCTATAGCATAAGTACAATAGAAAAATAGTCGGTTATAATGTAACATACCACCTGTGTCACCACCTGGACCAAGGTAATTTTGAAGACACATTAGTACTATGGTAATGTAGCACAAGTTACTTACCAAAATCACGGCATCATCCATTAAATGAGATGTTATTTGATTTTTCTTTTTCTTGGACACCCAAGACTCCTTCTCCATCTGGAATTTTTCCATTTTTTTTTTCAGCCTTAGATGTTGCGGCTGTGCTGCCTTGCACATGGGGCAGACCTTGCATCCATTAAATATTTGTTCTTGGCATGCAGGGCACGACTTCTTCAACCCTCCACCAGGCATGCTTTTGTTATTCTGTAAACCATACAAAAGAAAAGGATGATTAGAATAACCATTGTATAAAAATATAAATTCCTTAACTGCAAGAGTTGTGAAGGTTTCCATAAAACACTTTCAGTCTTTCCACTACAATTATCTTACAATTATCATGTAATAGACAAAATTACAGCTATGTCGCGACTGATATGTGTGACCAATCCAGGGTATCTAGCATAACACTATGTGACCTGCTGTTCCTACAGCAAAAATGCAAATCATACATCATTATAATGAAACAAAATACAAGACTATCTTTAAATAACCTAAACTTGTGCTGTGTAGAAAATAAAAATCTTGGGATACTTACTGTATGAAATATGAGTTGAGTTATGGTATGAGTAAGTATGAGTGAGTGAATGTGTGTGAGAGTGTGTGTGTGTGTGTGTGAGAGAGAGAGAGAGAGAGAGAGAGAGAGAGAGAGAGAGAGAGAGAGAGAGAGAGAGAGAGAGAGAGAGAGAGAGAGAGAGAGAGAGAGAGAGAGAGAGAGAGAGAGAGAGAGAAACAAGAAAGAGACAAAAATAGATAAATATGAAAAATGTGAAAGAATGGCTCTTAAAAGTGCCTTTTTTGGTAAAGCTGTCTTGTATCTGTAACAGACAGAAAATATTATTAGAATAACCATTAGAACAAACATTTCTACATGCATATTTCATACATGAAATTCACATTTCATTTCTACATGAAATTCATTCACGACATGAATCTAATTTTCTTGTGAACCGACAAATTGCTTCATAAACAGTCTTGTTCTGTAGTACACCAGAATGAGTGAAGCACAAGGGTGAACTTCCCAAAGAAGGAAGGGCAGTAAAACTGATTGGCAATACTGTGGTTGAGAATGCCATCTGGCCACATCAACATGCCTAAGTCTTTGATGCAATCAACCTGTTTCTGGGCTGTGTTTTTTTTTTACCCTTTTGTGTTTTTTTTTCTTCACCCTTTTGTGTTTTTTTTTCTTCTTTAACTAATCTTTTACATGTTTATTGCTTAAGTCAAAATCGAAATATTGTGAGCCCCTTGGAATTATTTGGTTTTCTGTTTGTGTTGCTCTTGAAATGATATTAACTAAATCACTAGCAGCCTATTGGCAAATAAAATTATGCTGACACAAAAGGTCTGTCTGTGAGTATGTGGGTGTCCCTCGCATATAACTGACCACTCATCGCATTGACCCAAGATTTTAGCTGTGGCTTGCAGGGCACGGGGATGTCCTCGATTTTACAAGCTACCAGTACCAGTACTAGGCCTGGCCTACAGTAACACATAGAGGAACGCGGTGCAATGCATTTCAACACATAGCCTATATTTAAAAATATATATAGGCCTGTATACATAAAAAAAAAATTAAGATATTCTACATGACTACAGCTAGCAAGAAACGTTGCGTACACTGGGTACCTAGTTAATGCAACTTGAACTTCTCCTAGCAACTATGGAGAAATTAACAGCGAAGCAATTAACAGGATTACAGGCCCTGTGCAACCGACACTGGTGTAAAAAAAAATAAAAATAAAAAATAAAAGATAGGTAGGCTTTTGATAGCAATTAACTTAGTCTTAGTCTTAACTTTAGGGTGCTTCGAAGGAATCAACAATTCACATAACACAAGCTGGAAATAGTGTTACTTACCGATCTGATGACTGTGAACGTCGACCGCAATAATAGGAAAAAGGGCGCAATTCTGGGATGTAGCCTGCATGAGGAAGTAGACCTATGACGCGTCGCAGCAATGACATAATTTTCTCGATATTAATTAATAAAAATAATACAAAGAATCCTAATAAGCCTACATTTTATGTTAAAATGAGTAGCCTATGCCTAGAAATAGTATCAGATTAACAATATTTAATATTGTTACGTACAACAAAACTTTAATCCATGGTTTTGGATATTTTAATTCCAAACTTAATAGCAATGGAACACATTGACATTGTTACACAGTCGACCTGAAGTTTTCACATTTCTAAATGAGCAAACAACAAAAGCAACGCAGAACGAGACCAAGTTGGCCGTGGGTCCACCACAGATCCATTCCAGCTCCGTGGTAATGATAAGGCATTTAATTCCCTGCAATGTGGAGAATGTGATCAAATTGAATTTTACAATGACAGGGCAAATGTCTAGTTAATTAGGCTGCATTACCATTGTAGGATAACAGAGTTGACCTGTTGAATTAATTTAAATGAGCAAGTTCATTAAAACATTCAGTGAGTGATGGAACTTTGGTTAGGCTAACAGAATCAAACAGAATTTTTATAATGGCATGACAACATAGGCCGCCAGGTTAACATGGCATATGGTGTATAAATCTAAGTGAAAAGGCTATTTCAAATGCTGCATTTCTATTTGAGAAAGCACGTCCGTTGGGTGAGATCTGTTCTCTTAAACGGGTATCCGTGTGTGGACCACGGAAGATGAGTGTCATTGACTTGCGTTGGAGTTATCGGTGGTCTCAGCACAGACTCACTCCGTGCCCCTATCACAGATTTCAGTTCTGACCGTAGCGAGCAGTAGCCTAGGTGTAAAACGCCATCAACCTGGATTTTATGAGGACGATACAAAACGTCAAGTTAATTACATGCCATTGCAATAGAGTCGACATAAAGCTTAAGTTTCTAAACAAGCCAGCCACATTACAACGTCCATGAGGTCAGGTTGTTGAGGTCCGTGGTGCCATCACGGGACATCGGTTAGGCTAACTGAAACAAACGGAATTTGTATGATGGCAGGACAGTGCAACAATATGTCATTATGGTTTTTGATGTTGTAAAAGAAACTACCACTTCAAATGTTGCGTTTCCAAATGAGAAAGCACGTCCGTTGAGTGAGATCTGTACTCCGTCACTCAAACGGGTATCCGTGAGTGGACCACGGACGATGAGAGTCATTGACTTGCGCTGGAGTTATCCGTGGTCTCAGCACAGACTCACTCCGTGCCCCTATCACAGATTTTAGTTCTGACCGTAGCCAAGCGAGCAATAGGTGTAAAACGCCATCAACCTGGATTTTATGAGGACGAGACAAAACGTCAAGTCAATTACATGCCATTGCAAGAGAGTCGACATAAAGCTTAAGTTTCTAAACAAGCCAGCCACATTACAACGTCCATGAGGTCAGGTTGTTGGTCCGTGGTGCCATCACGGGACATCGGTTAGGCTAACTGAAACAAACTGAATTTGTATGATGGCAGGACAGTGCAATAGCCACAATAACAGAGAGGTTAACGTACTTATGGCTTTTATTGTTGTAAAATAAACTAACACTTCAAATGTTGCGTTTCCAAATGAGAAAGCACGTCCGTTTGGTGAGATCTGTACTCCGTCACTCAAACGGGTATCCGTGTGTGGACCACGGAAGATGAGTGTCATTGACTTGCGCTGGAGTTATCCGTGGTCTCAGCACAGACTCACTCCGTGCCCCTATCACAGATTTTAGTTCTGACCGTAGCCAAGCCAGCAATAGGTGTAAAACGCCATCAACCTGGATTTTATGAGGACGAGACAAAACGTCAAGTTAATTACATGCCATTGCAATAGAGTCGACATAAAGCTTGAGTTTCTAAACAAGCCAGCCACATTACAACGTCCATGAGGTCGTTGAGGTCCGTGGTACCATCACGGGACTTCGGTTAGGCTAACTGAAACAAACGGAATTTGTATGATGGCAGGACAGTGCAACAATATTTCATTATGGTTTTTGATGTTGGAAAATAAACTAACACTTCAAATGTTGCGTTTCCAAATGAGAAAGCACGTCCGTTGGGTGAGATCTGTACTCCGTCACTCAAACGGGTATCCGTGTGTGGACCACGGAAGATGAGTGTCATTGACTTGCGTTGGAGTTATCCGTGGTCTCAACACAGACTCACTCCGTGCCCCTATCACAGATTTTAATTCTGACCGTAGCCAAGCGAACAATAGGTGTAAAACGCCATCAAACTGGATTTTATGATGACAGGACGAGACAAAATGTCAAGTTAATTACATGCCATTGCAACAGAGTCGACATAAAGCTTGAGTTTCTAAACAAGCCAGCCACATTGCAACGTCCATGAGGTCAGGTTGTTGAGGTCCGTGGTGCCATCACGGGACTTCGGTTAGGCTAACTGAAACAAACGGAATTTGTATGATGGCAGGACAGTGCAACAATATGTCATTATGGTTTTTGATGTTGGAAAAGAAACTAACACTTCAAATGTTGCGTTTCCAAATGAGAAAGCACGTCCGTTGGGTGAGATCGGTACTCCGTCATTCAAACGGGTATCCGTGTGTGGACCACGGAAGATGAGTGTCATTGACTTGCGTTGGAGTTATATCCGTGGCCGCATCACGGAATTCGCGGCGATTCCGTGTTGTTTCGACGGATTTTGAGTTAAGGGCACGTGGACATTTCACGGAATCCTGTGAGACCAGGTTGGCTCGTCTCATAAATGAACCGAAACTTAGCGCAAGCTACTTGCCTCAAAGATCTGAGAAATATATAGAAAGTTTGAAATGTGTACTTTAAAACAAAACTATTCAAAACGAGAGAAAACAGACTCTCTGCTTATGTAATCCATATGAAATGTGCATTTTCTCTCTGGCGCGTTCACTACTGTGAAGATCGCGAGTCAGCATCGTCAACTTTATATTTGCAGCCGACACTGACTGACAAAGAAAACACTTGTTTATTAATAAACAATTAAAATGTCTCCTTGCTATATTTGATATTCGATAATCATTTCTTTTGCCGGTTCTTTGTGACATTTTTCATGAACGCGTGCGTCACCACCGCTCAATAGTTAATATTGTGCTTTGGTGTTCAGTTTATACAGGTTTTTCAAATGTTATTTAAATAAATATATATTTTTTTTCTATCTCAAAATCTCTCCTTTTTTTTAGTTTTTTTTTTCTAGTTTTTCAATAAGTAGCCTAGAGTTCATGGTAGAATTTTATGTAGGCCTACACATTTAGGAACAGATATTGGGTTCTGCCCAAAGTCAAGCAACATAAAAGTAACGTAAAAGTAACGAGTAACATAAAAAGTTACTTTCCAAAGGGCGTAACTAAGTAAAGTAACGGATTACTTTTTTAAGAAGTAACGAGTAACGAGAAAACAC